GAAATATTCAAGATTTCTTTCCGGCAAGTGTACACTGGCAATGTGAGAAAAAAAAAAGACTGCGTATTTATTACACGTGTGCGTCGCACATGCACGCACATAGGGGTGCAAGGTAGGGGTAGGCAAGGCGCGCTTATCGGAAACAGTTTAGCGGCGTCGCGCAACCAGGTAGGACGTGCATTACGTTGCTCCCACGGAACGTCTTCGAAGCTTCCCTCCTTTGTGCAGGGGTGCGTGCATACGTGATAATTAGGTACACGCGCACCCAACGGAGTCACGAGTTACAAGCGAGCAATGAACAGTGCGCTGTGCTTTTTCATCGTACATGTTCTCCGTGTAAAAGTGGACTGATGTAAACTAATGCAATGACTCTGACGTGCTTCTAAATGATCAGTGGTAACGAATGATCGAGAGTCAAAGTGGTATATATATACAGATTGTTGGACGGGAGGCCCAGTGGTCTTTAACCTGATGTTGCGTAAAGAAATTTGTAATATTAGTTGATTGTCTTTTGGGAGATTTCCTTGTCGTGTATGCTTCTTCACTTTTATAGTATAGAAAGTTGGGGCTATGTTTGGTTGCGTGGCATTAATTTCTTGTTTTTTTTTCTTCTTTTTTGGTAACGATTCGATCCACTCTCTCGGACTGTCCGACTCGCGAATTGAGTTTTCTCGATACGGAAATAACGAGGTTAATAATACAGGTCAGGTTTACAGCGGGTGGACATGCTTCGTACTGAACACGTGCTCTATGGGGGTTTACCCCTTCTATTAGTGCGGGTCTGCTATGGTGATTCACGGTCATATAATTTTTTTTATCCCCGTTCCTTTTACCTATCCTGCGCTTGGTATGGGTATGGGAGAAAAAAAATGTTGCTGGAAATTAATTCCCGAAAGATTTTAGTATGGCTCTCTTCTTTATTAAGTCACGCGAAATAGTTGGCTATCGGGCCCTGCCATTATGTAACGTACGCGAGCAATGCGTGCCTAACGTAAATATACGCACCGATGGGAAAACGGTCTGATGAATTCTTACGGCGAGCTCGAAGTAAGAGTCGTAAAGCGGGGTATTATTAAAAAGTGAAATTAATTATGCCTCATTATCTTTGTTATCGTAACGCAGTCGGTCGCGATAGCCGGCCGCTTGTGATTAACTGTATTTTTTATAATTCGTACTTCTTTGCTGCATCGTTCGCGAGCACTTTGTAAAAGCTCGAGTTGTTTTTAAGAATTTTTGAAAAATGGAAAAAAAAATATTCTTCTCTTCGTCGACTAGGCACTTTCTCTTTTGTTGATTTTAGCAGGATAAGGACTCGCGAAACTTTTCTTTCACAGAAATATGCTGCTTCTATCGTCAGTTTTACTGTGCGTTTTGATTTGGTTTTTCATTGTTATTTGCTCGTTGCATATAGAAAAAAAAAATGTTAGCCTAGACTGTTTAATATTGACTTTGATATGGAATTATAAATGAGCCACGATGAAATCGTGCTTAGTGCATGTGGAACTTTTTTATTTCCACCGTGAGGTTGCTCTCAACTGTAGCGTGAAGTAAAGCATACAACGAAAAAGATAAATAAAGAGTATCTACGATGCAAATCGGAATAAAGTTATTCCGAACGTAGTATAATGGCCTCCCGATACGATCCACGCTAACTTTTTCTCTGCAACGAACTTCAAAGCGTTACTTGTAACAAGTTTTCACAGAGAAGGAAATACTCGTCGAGAAATTCGAGGAGCAATGAAATCTGGCTTTCTTTACACCAGGGACTCTCGACTGTTTTGGTCGTAGCGTAAAGTCCAAATAAACAAAATCACCCTCAACTCTCGTCCACGTACTATTCCCCGATGTTCATTCGAATTGTATGCTCAAACAAGTTGACACTTAACTCGCTCGGGTGATTAACTTTAATCACGGTATAGCAATTATGATCGGTCTGTGGTCCTTCAAGCCACGTCGTAAGGGAAAGGTGGAGATTCTATTGGGTGAGTATTAGATTGATTTTGTTTTCTTGGGTTTACTTTTTTGTTTCAAACTTAAGAAAATTTTGAAACCATTTTTTTTTTGTCTTTTACAAGGATTAATTTCGATTTTACACGTTTCAACTAAATAATCGTATATATTGTCCTTAAAAACACATGGACTTCTGGGTCTCTACTTCGAAATTATCCAACCTGATCTTCCCGCGCGAGAAAAGTCAGCAAGTGCAATGACTCCGGAGCGCTGACCTCTCACGGAGGTCGAATCCTTATTACACGAACTCCACGTATAACGCCATCGTCTCTGACGCAGCGCTTACCACTGATATAGTTACTCGATAACTCCTAGAGCAACCTGCAATCCCTTAGACGATGCCAAAGTAATCTTTCAAGTAATTGCGTTAGCAAAAAATGGATATCGTACGTCAGTTCATTTATTTGGGGCTAAGATAAAGATATACAATAGAGATTCGGCAACGTAATAAATCGATTGGTTTAATAAGCTAAGCCCAAATTCCGCTGGAGTCTTAATGTTGTTTTGCCGTTTTCCCGTATAATTTCTCGTCCCTGGTATTACTATAGATATAATTCGGCAAAGCGTTTTGAAAGACAACAAATAAGAAGGAAAATATTTTCTTGTTTCGCAGAAGTTTCTCATTTTCTTTTCTTTATCACACAAAGCTCACCATGAAACATTTTTTTAATAAATTGCCTCGTTTCCTAAAAGAATCAAGATAATCACTATAAATGACCCATCCTGTAAACCTTGGCCTAAGAAAGTCTAGATAACTTCTCTGTCATACTGTAGAACAACATGGAATGAATAGAGCATATGCAGTGTATAAAAAATGCACTCTCGTTATCTATTAATAGTGTTGCCATCTAGCGTTAAAAGCCTGGAGTTTATACTGGCTTTCGTTCGTACCGTCAAACTCGTACGGTTGATAATTCTCGGAGAAGTTTTAAATAGTGCTCGGCGTATGTATACACTGTAGAAAATGTATGCACCGATGGGGTAACGTACAATACCATACGTTCGGTTTATTTACTGTGAATCCCTCGCATCGGAGCTGTATGTCTTTAATGTAAGCACGAAGTCGCTTTAATATCGCGTCACGGCAGAGCGAGCCTGTTAAAGTCATACGGGATATCCTGGGGCTTACAATTGGAGAGAAACCCCCGGCCCTGTCTGCAACGTCTGCAGCTGCATGTTGTCCGCCATTATTCTATCCCGTATACTATTTCCGATTCGATCTTCGACAGAATGTTAAGGGAATTCCTGCAGCACAGTGATGCAGTTACGTTAGAATCAGTAATACAAATGCATTCAAATTTGATACTCTGCAACGGTGTTAAAGTTGGACTGGAGGAGAGAGGTAAATAGACAGTATGGACATCTTACGAGATATATGATGACACGCAAGCCGGGGGTCTTCCGGACGCCTATAAATGCTCTTAACCATTGACATGTTGTATATAGATATATGCATATATATTACGTATACGGGAAGTGCGCGACACGGATTACACAGGGCATGTCTGGCCTATTTATATTCAGTCCACGGTATTAATATTAAACAGCCTAGTTCGCGTCAGAAGGTAAGACGGCGGTTGGTGGTGACCTTTCAAAAAATGTCAAAAGGTTAACTAACGGAAGCTTTTGAAAAGCTTCTGAAGATGGTGCTGTTAGCAATCTTTGGGCCTGAATGCGAAATCTTTGTCGCGGGAACATTTGAATATAGAACTAATGGATTAGGGCGATCCTAATGGATGTTTGCTGAATAACTTTTATGTTCTCAAGTGAAACGATATACGAGAGTTGGTAGGACTGAAACAACTAATATCCTAAGGGAATGTATACTCGTAAGAAAAACTCGTAAATCTTACGCGTAAACGTATCCGAACGATCGAGGATTCTTGGAACACGTGGTGAGGACATGTAAACAGAAGGCTCCTTGCC